GCAGCTTGTTTTGTATTAAAACAATTAAAATTAATAAACAAAAAGCATTGCAACTTTTGTGGCGAGAGTTTTAAAGTGATTTAGCTTCCTTTTTTCTTTTTTTTTTTCTTTGAGTGGCGCACAGTCAACATCCAACAATTTCCAACCCTTTTGCAAGTTCACTTAATAAACTTGATTTAAGTGCACAAAACATACGGCCAGACAACATACCGAGCAAACGGCAAACCCATCTGTGTGGCTATGTGCGCACATCCGGGCAAAACTCCTGACTCCACACTCCTGCCAACAATCCGCTCTTTCAAGGCATTCAATGTGCCTCCCACAGGTCCAGCTTCGGTCTGGATATATACGTTAGCTGTCAGTCAGAGAGATTCTTCGCAACGTCCCGTTCCTTGTACATTTAAAGTACATTTATGTCAATCACGCTCATTATGCGCACGTCAGTCCATTAAATTACATACGTAGAGGGTAACTGAGAATGGTAACCGTGTGACCGATGTAAATGAAATTGCATTCATACTGCAAGGAAGTTAGAACGCCACCGGAAGTCGTCATATTTGTACGCTTGGTTAAGGCAGCTGCCGTTACTCTCGACTAAAGTTTTTAAACGCTTAATCAGTGCAAATCAAGTGTATAGAGGGTTGTGGATATAAATATAATGAATCAAATGTGAATGATAATCAATAATTTATATATTGGGTTTATCGTCTTTTGTTGACTGTTCACTCTTCTGTTGCTCTTCTTGTTATGTGATGTGAATTTCAAGTGAGAATTTCGTAACGCAATTGTAGAAATTCCAGTCTCGTTTTTGGGCTATAATTTCCAGTGCGTCTAAGAATTCCTTTTGTGCATTAAGCGCTCATGAAATATACAAAGTGCAAGCAAAAATGGCGATTAACCCAGTAACCATTTTTCAAATGCACGACACAACTTCGAAAATACCTCAAATGTACCAAAAATAAAATTGCTATGTTTCACTTTCAAAATAATAAAAAAAGGAGAAAAACAAACTCTCCTCTTTTGTATTTTTGAGACATCGTTTTAAACGCGAACTAAAAAAGCGTTGCATATGCTAGGGGTGCACGTAGCGTTAACTGTTATCGCGTCACTCAGCGCGCTAATTAAGTGAAAAGCTATGCTAAAAAGTGCAGCAGCGGCGCGGGTGGGAGGGATTGGGAACACAGTCGCATCTCTTTGACCCAAAAAACGTGCCAAGTTGTTGACAAACAACAAACAGCGTGAACCAGAACTCAACTCTGCTCTGGTTCTGATTCTGATTCTGCTTCTGCTTCTGTTTCTGTTAGTTTTACTGTGTTTCTGCTGATGTGACCCTCTTGTCTCTCCTGATACTGCCGCACTTCCGTGTGCGCACATAATTCGCAACAGTGGCAGCTGCGGATGCAAATGTGCGACTCCCGGAGTCGTGCCCAAAGGCGCTTAACCCGCTTTCGGTGTCGGGCCGGGTGTGGATGGCAAAACAAGCGATGCTCAGCTAAGGCGAAAGTTGGTTTATTTCATGCCATGTTAAAGTTACATCAAAGTAACAAAAAAAAGGAGAGAAATAACAAGTAACAGGATGTCGTATATGAGAAAACACTTGGCGACAATGTGACAACCAGTCTAAAGCATATCAAATTAAAATGGCTAACACAAACGGGCAAACACAAACACACACAGACTATACATAACTGTAGCAAGAGTCAATTAAAATTTCTATTTGATTTGGCAAATGTCAGTGGAAAGTTGGGACCATGACCATCCACTGCACAGACAATCCACACGGTATATTCTTGCCCCATGGAGACGCAGACACAACACCCGCATAATGGCCACCCACAAAATTGCTGCTGACCAAATGCCAACAGCAGACAGTGGAGAGTCGAAAATTGGCTACAGGTAGAGTGCAAACAATGTCAAGTAAAGTGTGTTCTGCGAAACAGTTTCGCAACTAAATCGATAGAAACTGCATTTAATGGCAAGAATTTAAAACTAATTCCATCAGATATGCCACGTAATTTCGTGTTAAGAAAATAGGAAAAAGCTATGTTTAAATACAGAATAAAGATGCTTTCCAAGAGTAATGAACTCATTGCAAGAGCTTGTTGAAATTGTGCAGAAACTGATAGCGAAAGCACGGAAAAGACTCTGGATAACCGACTGGGCAGGTAAGCAAACTCATCTGCCAGACTAGGCAAACGATGATCTGAAAGTAAAATAAACTGAAATTGAGTGCAAATCTACGCAAGGTTAATGGCAGGGGCCGGAGCAGATTTAAGTATTCAGAGCACAAAGACCGACCGCATTTGATTGCTGACTGCAAAGAGTGCCAAGATTTTGAGTCCCATTTACAAGATGCAACTAAACCATTAGCCGTATTGTTTAATGTGGCCAAATATTTGGTAATATGCTAGACTATTTGGCTTTGTGACAATGCACACATGCTCATGGCAATAAAAAGCATTCAAGCCTTGAAAACTAAATCAAAATGGCGTTCAACTTATTCACATTGGCGCCAAGTCGCCGAATGTAATTGTAATGCTGTAATAAATTGTGCGGGAGTGCTGATGTTAAACAATAACAACAAAAACGAAACTAGTACGCATTGCGGACAAAAGCGTACAATTTATGATGCTATATGTATATATATATATATACATGTCCTTGGTTATTTTTTTCTTTCATATTTCTGTTGTTACTATTACTCTTAACTGTTCGCACAAGCATACGAATACAAAGCCACAAACAACAATAACAACAAAGTCGTCCATAAAACTTTACAGGTGCGTTAATAACAATAAAAAATAAAAGCGCCACCTATGTGGGGAGCATGAGAAACGGTTGCGCCAAAAAGTGTGCTACAGTAATGCGAGTTCAGAAAACGTGCGCTATTTGGTTGCTCTCGGTATGTGTGTAGCAGATAGATAAAGCAAAAAAACTTACATGTGCAAAATAAATCAGACACAGCCCATTTACAAATTGTGTAATAATGTTTATATCTACCTTCAGTTCGATTTCCAATAAAAGGATCGCTAACTGTTATAAATATTATACTCCTTGGGTACACATTCCTTGAAGTGACATGTGGATATTATCTAAGTTAAATTACTTACAAAAGCACTTAGTCACCAACTTAATTATTTATGTTTAAGTAAACCTTGAAATTGAAAGACAAAGTTAAGGTTATATATAGAAGAATTCTGTGGGTTTTCTCAAGTTTATTGTTTTATATTTATTGAGGTTTATTGTTGATGTGGTGGATACGTTACATATGCCTGTGGCTTCGCATTGAAATGACTTCGGTTGCATTTTATTCAGGGATCTCAGGGTTCTCAGGCATCGGAGGCGTTGTGCCATTTAGTCGAATATTGCTGTTGATACCAACGTGAATGCGCCTGTTACCTTTGCGCTGGCCACGCCTATTGTTGTTGCGCCTATTGCCCTGTCGGCTTTTTGAGCCATTTCTGTTGGTTCGCTTCTTCGAGCCATTTCTGTTGCGTCGCCTCTTCGAGCCATTTCTGTTGCGGCGTTGTCTGTTCGTACGCCTGCGTCTGCGACCATTGGCGGCACGTCCCTCATCGTGTTCCTCTTCCTTCTCTATGTCCTTCATCATGTTGTTAAGCTCAGCAACGTCGGCGTCATCCAACTGTTCCAAATCATTCTCATCCTGTTCGATCTCTGCCGCCTCATCTTGCTCATCATCGACATTATCATCATCATCATCATTATCATCGTCTAGGTTCAAGAGATCCTCATTTTGATGGCGCAGATCCTTTGTTTGCATCCTCTGCTGCACGGCCGGACGTGGTTGATACGTCTTCGTCCTCCCGGCCCAGGTAGCACAAATGCAACCCAGCAGCACGACAATTGTGCAGAATGTTAAGTGCTTTAGTGACATGCTTGGATCTATATGTTGTTCTCATTGCTGGCACACAGTGCTTTTATGCGTAATTCACCAGCTTGACAACTGGCGGCTGTGTAAACAGTTTTCTAATGTGAGTGTGAGTGAGTGTGAGTGTGTGTGTGTGTGTGTGTGATTGTTTGCTTGAGCCCAGTTTGTTTGTGAAAAGGCCCAGTTGCAACGGCAACGGCAGCGGCAGCTTATCACCCAGGCCAAGCTGTTCTGAAAAGTTATCAGAAAGCCGAAAACACTTTGACACCTTTTATTTATGCGTTAAGCAAATTTAAATTAGTTTTTATTGTTTACCAGACGCACAGGCCAATGCTGGGCCAGAATGGATCCAAACTAATGATGCAATGTACCAAAGTCACGTACACGAAACGTTGGCAGCATCGTCGCCAGTTGCTGCCACAATCCACAATCAAATGGGAACAAAAGCAAGAACAACAACAATGGTGAAATTTGTTGCTGCTGCTATTTATGTTAATTTTAATTGTGGGCACGTACAAAAGGCTACAGCTAGCTACTGGGCAACAACTGGCTACAAACTGCATAAATATGAAATTTGGTTTTTTGGGTAGTAGTTAGACGAAACATTTGTATCTATAGCTCTCACTTGGCATATATATAGATACACTTGCCAGCACAAGTCGTGTCCATATACATAGAAATATATATATATATATATATTTATATTGATATTTGCAAGAACTTGTGCATAATCACGAATGGCTAAGCACGAATGCGTATTGTAATATTTGTGTAATCAGGCACAAATATTAGGTACTTACTGGAAACATAATTGTTGTGTTCACTTGCTGTCGTTGCATTCATGCAACGCAGTCATGCATCATCGATTTATTTGCCACGTAATCAGCTTATATTTAATATAATATAATACTATAGTAAACAATTTTAATGGCTGTTGCATTACTTATTACTAAACATTTACTTTAGCTACACTCAATTCATTTAATGTATAAGCATTTTCGTTTTAATTTTGGGCTATTTGAAAACTGTCTCATGTGAATCTATTTAACATGACACACAAGTTGATGGGCATAGTTATAACGTTCTCTTATTTTCTTCTGGTCGATTTCAGGTCCATGCCTGCCATCACATTTCACATGCAACGATGGCACTTGCATACCAATGCGCTTGAAATGCGATTCCAAACCGGACTGTAAGGATGGTTCTGATGAGAGCAGCGATTGTGGTGAGCATATCCCTAGTGCAACTACCTCCCATCCAACTACTGCTGTTTTTGATGTTACCCATTTGCCGTTGATTGCTATATTATTGGTTTGACTGTTTGGTTGTACACGTTTTTTGGCTGGCTACGCCTAATGACAGGTACTAGTGGCCAACGCCGCAAAATGCGTAAAAGCCGCTACCGAAAAGCACAAAATGCAATTAGTGGCTCATGTTGCTTGCTGCCCCGCCCCCACCCCCGCCACACTCGGTGCACTCAGCCCATTGTGGGGGCATTTAAAATTTCCGTTTGGTTTGCATACTCTTTAACGGTGAACTCTGGGAAATGCATTTCCATTTCCATTTTCCATTGTGCTTTAAGTTTAATTCGATGCCAGCCAGCCGACGACATCAACCCACTAAATTAATGTGTAGACATTTTCGCTGTATGCCAATAAAAACCAACAGCAAAATTCGAGAACTGAGAAATGGCAACGTTGACAACAAGAACCAAACAGCCCCGAGGGATGGGATACACTGCAACAATTGCCAGCACACTGTCGGATAGCTGCAAAACTTGGACTGTATCTTTCTCTCTCTGTTGGCATTTTTAATTTCATTTTATATCATAGCATTTTTATGGTGGCAACAACAAGAATCGAGCACAGAGTAACAGAACACACACAGCAGACACAATACCAACAAACAGACGACGACTCTGACGACAAATTGTCGGCAAATATTAATGCAACAGATTATAATAAATGTGGCAGCCAGTGCGTCCTCATGCTTTTTCACACTCTTCACTATCTCTTGCACTACTCGCTCTGTTATTGTCCCATCCACGCAATTTCAATTAAAGCTTTCTGACTGCAGCTATATACAGACACACAACCACCCACCCACACACACACACACAGAAAACATATGCACATATATATATATATATATATATATAAGAGTACGCCTCTTGATATATCGCATTTAAACTGCCAGCAAAGCTGAAAAGTTTTCATTTGAATTGGGATTTGCACTCGTTTATTAAATGTTTTCTCGTCTCTATTGAATTTATGGTCAGTTTTTCATTTTAGTTAACTTTTTAATGCTTCAGGCTAAATTAAGAAGTCGACACATTTTAGCAGCGTTATTTGTTATTATACAGTATGTATAAAGAGATCCCACGTACCTCCAAGGCATTTGTACAGAGTTTTTTTTTTAATAAGAACCGACTTCTAATGCGATATTTTGTAAATTAACTTTAACTTAAAACATTCCAAACCATGATCAAAATTGTATTTATTTTCATAATTTTCATTGGTCTAGACTTCACAATATTCTGTTAGTTTAAAGTAAAGAGCTGCACTCTTATTTTCGAGAAAGGTTACTTCTCAGCGATTCTACTTGTTTTCACATATTTTTCGTGTGTCAAGTTGGTTAAGTTGATGCTAGCGTCCATTTCTAGTATCAAAGTCGCCATCCATTTGGTTCAATGCACTCCCTGGTCAACTCTTGTGACTTTTTTGATTTTTCCTCTTTATATGTATACCATTGTAAAGAGTATTATAACTTTGATCTGAAGTTTGTAACGAATCGAATCGATTTATTCTATGTTGAGAGACCGAGACATACATGCCACGGAATAACATAGAAGTAGTATATAGAATTCCAAGCTAGACGTGAAACAACATACAAGCAATCATCATTTAGAAAAATAACCTAATTTATATAATATTATGTTCAACTCCGAACTGAAAATTAAATGTATATAGACATTGGTAAGGGTATGTGATCTTTGGCCTGCCAAAGATAGTCGTTCTTACTTGTTAATTCTTTTTTTCTTGTTGCCATTTTGCCACCCCATCGTATCAAATAAAATAAAAATCTCAAATGTATGCGAAACATCTGCATGCCCTTGGGCTTATTAAGTATTACACCCAGCACAAGCACCAGCACCAGTTAAGGCTAAAACAATAGCCGCCCTCTGTTTCCAAGTGGAGGCACTTTCCTCCCACCGCATGGAAATTGACACACGATTGGGTCTGGCAATGGTCGTTCGGTCTGTCGTTCGGACGGTTTGTCTGTCTGCTTCTAGAGTTTAACCTCTTGGCAGCCAAACACCAAACACCAAACATTTTTTGTCGACCGTCCCATGTGTCGCCAACGTGGTTTTTATGGTTATGGCCGCGCGTGAATTTTGCTGCTGTCTAGCTGCCTTTGATTTCGGAAAACCAAACTCGTAGAGCAGCAGCGGCGCGTTATTTGAATTCTTTTGTCTTCCATTTATTTTCACAAAATATATATTGTCGTGACAATTTGCATTTTTTTTTAATATTGTCACAGCCATGAAACAAAAAGTGTTGTTCGCAACTGCCATTTTTTGTAACAATGCTGCATATATTGAAGAGTGTAAATTTGTAGAAATTACATCAAAAGTTCAAAAGGCATTTGTTAAAATAGAAATCGAGTCGAATTTAATGCAGACAATCTTCACTTCTCAGTCGTAGTACAACTCATAAATATTACGTAAATTTAATGCAAAAAAAATTGTCACTAAAAGCTTTTACTTGCTTGATTTGAAGTGAATCTGCAAATATTTTGTACGCTAAACATCCATTCGCAAAAGTACTTGAAACTTTTTGAAATGTCACCAGATTCTGGCTTATTTGCCACCTTATCCCATCCCACGCAGCCATCGCAACCAAACTGGGTAGTTTACTTATTTGTGAGTTTTCGCAAAATAATGCTGTGATTTGTACAATGGCGTAAACAACCCAATAGTAAACCACCACACACAACCACCCACGCCACCCACAACGTAAACGCAATGACAACCGCAAACAAACCGTTCATAAATCTTCATTTACGTTATTGTTATTGTGGTTTCTGTTTGTGCTCCCTTTGCAGTCAAGTCGCCCAAGTGCATCGCGGGACAATTTCGCTGTGGACAGAGCCAGAAATGCATACCAGGCTATTGGCTATGCGATGGGGAATACGATTGCGGCAAGGGCGACGTATCGGATGAGACCAACTGTAAGTAGCCCAAAAATTATTATGCACTAAACCCACTCAACCATCCCATTCCCTTCTGGGCAGGTCCCGATGGCGTTGCGCGCAAATGTAGCGCCTTTGAAGCCGAATGCCACAATGGCGCCTGCCTCGAGCTTTCGCGTTTCTGCGACGGCCACTGGGATTGTGATAACGATGAGCTGCATTGTGGTATGTAGACAACCATTTCCATTGCATAAATAAATGAATGTTACTACCCAATATCCTTATTTACAAATTGCAGATAAACAAAATGTCGCCTGCGCTGCGCTCAACTGTAGCTACAATTGCAAATTGACGCCGCAAGGGGCACGTTGCTACTGCCCCGCCGGTCAGGTGGCCGAGTCTACGAACTCAACGCGTTGCGTGGACTACGATGAGTGCACTGTGCCTGGCATTTGTGACCAGCAGTGTAAAAATACGCCTGGTTCCTATGAATGCGCCTGCATCTCGGGTTACACAAAGCAGGGCAAACGTTGCCTGGGCATTAATGGTGAGCACATAGCTAATATGGCTGAATACTGGCCTTGTCTAATATACTACTGAGCAATCGATTATTTTTTACAGTGCCACCCTCAGAGCCAGCAACTCTCTCCACGCTATCAATGGACACAATTCGACGCATCAGCACAGCCGTTGACGCTGCAGGAGCTGGGCAAATACTGTCCACACAGCCAGTGCAATTCGTTTTGGCCTATGAGGTGTGGCATCGTAACCGAACGCTCTGCATGTTGCAGAAGATGATCGATCTGGTTATGCATTGCCAGCGCATTGATGACGCCAGCGTTAATTGGACGCTACCCGTCTCCGCATTTAACTCGCCTCACCAAAGTGAGTTACTGTGCCCGGTGTCCTCTGTCCTGTGTCCTGTGGCCATAATTTTGTGCATTTGTTTGCTGATTTTGCTGTTGTCTTGCTTGCAGTTTTTGTCGAGCTACGTTTGGACTGGATATCGGGCAATTGGTATTTCCTGAACGAGGACGACGGCATGGTCTTTCTGTGCACCAATGCGGTCACCTATTGCCGCCTCATACTGCAGCAGGTGGAGCAGCCATCGTCGTTGGTGCTCGATTCAACCAAGGGCTATCTCTTTTATACGGACTGGTCGCCCAGCCTGTCGCGTGCCCTGCTGGATGGCAGCAATCGCACAACACTCGTCAGCACACAGGTTTATCATCTGAGTGGCGTTACATTGGATTTGGCCAGCGAGCATGTCTATTGGATTGATGTATACAAGGATGTCATTGAGAGGGTGAACTATGATGGACAGCAGCGCTGGGCATTGAAAAAGTCACCAGATGTGAGTACTCCCCAGCTCTGATATCTTTGGTTGGCGTTGTGATTTTTCATTTTGTTCTAGAGTTGAGCAAGTTAAGGCAGCTATGGGGTATAATTTATGGATTGGTGTACGATGGCATAAATATGTATTTGCTAACTGCAAAAGTGATAAAGTAAATTCTTCAATTCTTCAGCTATTCAATTTTGGTATACGTAAAAGTTATCACAAATGTATGTCAGAAAGAGCTTAGCCCAGTTCTCAAATATTTTTTATTTGCGAAGGTATTAAATTTGTTTGGTTGCCAGATTTGATATGAATGCTGTTGTGGTTTACTCGAAATATTCAATATATGTTCGCTTAAATTCAAGAATCTTGATGACCCAGAAAACCGGAAACAGTTTTTAAAACAAAAGTGCAAAAAAAAAAAAAACGCCGCTTATCGATGAAAAATAAAACCCTATCATTGTTGTTTGCTATTGTTGTGTGTTAAACGCAATTTCCGTTGTTTGCAGTCACCATTTCCTTTGAAGACCATCCAAGCGGTGGAGGTGTTCGAGAATACAATTTATTTGGCTGCATGGACAGACCGTGCCATCGTTGGCCTGGACAAATTTACGCTAAAGGCGCGCGTGCTGCTGGCGAATGTAACACGTGGCGCACATTTTCGCATTTTCCATCGCCAGAAGCAGCCGGAGGTGGCACATCCGTGCCGGGAGAACAATGGGAATTGCAACCAGATTTGTGTACCGCTATGGACACGCGGATTTGCCAGCGCCAAGTGCCTCTGTACAGCCGGCTATAAATTGCATAACCAGACGACCTGTTTGCTCTCCGCTCACGATAAATTTCTCGTGTACAGCGACAAGCGTTTGGTTCGCATCACGGGCGTGCCACTGGGCACCGAGCAGGTGCAGCAGCTACAACAGCTTGGCGAGGAGCCCGATGTGATGGTGCCCATTTACAATGTGACCGCCCCAAAGGCTATCGATGTAAATGTGCGTGGCAAATCCATTTTGTATGTGCTACCCGATCCAGATGTCTCACTCTCCACCGATGAGCCCGTCTACGCCATCAAGAGCCAGTCGCTCAATGGCAGCGTATCGCGTACACTGTCCACGGGCTGGCACAAGGTGCGTGCCATGGCCTACGACTGGGTCAACGAACATTTATATTGGTCGGAGTATCAGAAACTGCATGTCGCCCCCTTACGCAACATGAGCAAAGTGCTCACATTTAACATCGATTGCAATCCCATGTAAGTTGACTCGATAAAAAAAAAGCGTTAAAATGTGTTTTAATTCTCTTTAACGTTAGTGTAACAACTCTTTTGTTAAAACTTCAAAAATAACAAATTATTAATATGAATGCATGAAGTTTTGCTTGTTTCTCGTCCATTCATTAATTGACATAAATTCATTTAACATTTTTTTAATCAAACTAGCCATTTTAAGCTGGTTTTTGATTCTTTTTTTACGAGTTCAGTAAATCAAAATGAAGCTTTATCAAAAAAATAAAATAAATCAACTAAAATGTGACTCATTTCAGATTTGTATTTATATATTGAATAATTATTTATTTATATTAATATAATAATACTCATATAATTGATTCTTTTAGGTCACTGGAGCTCGATCCGGGCACAGGACTTCTATACTGGTCGCAATGGTCGTCGCAGTCCTGCGAGGCTGGCATATATAGCGCCTGGATGGATGGCACACACAAGGAGCTGCTGGCCAAGTCAACCGATGGAATGAGCATGCGTTGGCCGCGCAGCCTGGACGTGGATAGACGCACCAAACGCATCTATTGGTGCGATTTCAAGCTGGGCACCATCGAACGCATGAAGTTGGACGGCACAGGACGAGAGCTGCTCTTCAAGTCGGAACAGTTTCATCCGTTTGCCATTGTGCAGCACAATGGCATTGTTTACTGGGCGGATAATATCAATTCGACCATTTGGCGGTTTCATGTGCATCACGCCAATATGACAAGCACCTTTAGTTCGACGGTGCATCTGCAGCCGAGCGGTAACGCTGTCGATTTGCGCATTTTTGATGTTGCAACGCAACCGTTGCCACAAACACCTAGCTCCTGTGCGCTATCCAAGTGTCCTGGCATGTGCCTGAATACGCCAAAGGGCGCCATCTGTCGCTGCCCGGATGGATATACTCTCAATGGCACTGGCACCCATTGCATACCGCAGCTGACGCCATCAACAGTCGCAGCTCCTGTGCGTTCCAATTGTACGTCAGGACATCAGTGTCGTAGCACGCAGCAGTGCATCGATGGCAAGGATCTGTGCGATGGCTTCGAGGATTGTGACGATGGCAGCGATGAGAGCAACGATGCCCAGGGTCCATGCAATCCACAAACGTGCGACAAGAAGCTGCACTTTGTGTGCAACGGACGCTGCTATCAGCGTGCTCTGCTGTGCAGCTCCATTGCTTACTGCTCCGATGGATCGGATCAGATGAACTGTGAGCATAATACGTGTAATAGCAATGAGTTCACCTGCGAGAAGAGCGGACGCTGCATTCAACTCACTTGGGTCAATGATGGCGTCGTCGATTGTGGTCCTGACGATGGTTCCGATGAGTCTTCGGATGTTTTTTTTGGCAGCAAATGTCCGGAATTTGACTGCGGCAATGGACGTTGTCGACAGTTTTCCGATATCTGCGATGGTCTCGATAATTGCGGGTAATACTTATGTGCTTTATAAATAACCCACTTATGCTCACCCTGTCCTCTCTATGTTCTCAGCAATAATGCGGATGAGTTTGCCTGCGAGCACGAATGCGGTCATGGAGAGCGCTACTGTCGCCCCATTGGCTGCTATGGGGATATGTACATTTGTGACGGGGTCAACGACTGCGAAGACTTCAGCGATGAGGCCAACTGCAATGAGACGAAGAGTGACAACAAACCGCTTACCGGCTGGAAGGAACTGGGCGAGTGTGCGCCCTTTGAATTTGCCTGCGCTGATCCCTTCGAGTGTATACCAGAGTTTCTGCGTTGCGACGGCATCAATCATTGTTTCGATAAGACGGATGAGGTGAACTGCACAAAACTGAATCCAACCAAGTTTGATATGAACGAGACGGTTATCTGTGAGGAGCCAGATCGCTTGTGTGGCTTCAGTAACAAGTGCATTACGGTTAGTCAGCTCTGTGATGGCCACAACGACTGTGAGGATACAACCGATGAGGGTTTCCTGTGCGCGGACAAGCTATGCGATCAGGGACACGAATGTTCTCATAATTGTCACAACACGCCCGAGGGTTACATCTGCTCGTGTCCCCCACATTTGTATTTGCAGCCAAATGGCAAGCGTTGCAGCATGCAGCACGCCTGCGAGCACTGGGACACGTGTGCCCAGGTCTGTGAGAACAATGGCAAGAGCTACGCCTGCCAGTGCCTCGAGGGCTATGATCTGTCATATGACAAGTTTACATGCAAGAGCACTGCGCCCGATGAGCCATACGTGATATTTACCAATCGACAGGATATTCGTGGCATTAATCTGAAAACTCTCGGCGCTAGCAGTTTCTATAGCTCGCTGCGTAATATTATTGCTCTGGACTTTCTGTACAGCAACGAGTCGAGCGTGGAGATTTACTGGACCGATGTCATCGATGATAAAATCTATCGTGGCCATTTGGTTGGCGAAAGTCTGAGGAATGTGGAGGCCGTAGTGCACTCGGGTCTGTCCACCACTGAGGGCTTGGCTGTTGACTGGATAGGCAAAAATCTCTATTGGATCGACTCAAATCTGGATCAAATTGAGGTGGCTCAACTGAATGGCAGTTTTAGAAGAACTTTAATTGCTGGCAACATGGAGAGTCCACGTGCCATTGCCTTGGATCCACGCGAGGGTTTGCTCTTCTGGACCGACTGGGATGATAATTCACCGCGAATCGAACGCTGCAGCATGTCCGGTGAGGGTAGACGCCTGATCTCCACCAATTGGCAGCTGAGCGCTGGTTGGCCCAATGGCCTCACTTTAGATTATACGCAGAAGCGTGTCTATTGGGTGGATGCCAAGTCGGATTCGATAAGTAGTACGAAATACGATGGATCTGAGCATCATGTGGTGCTGCGTAACATGGAGATGCTCTCGCATCCGTTTGCCATTTCCGTTTTTGAGAACTATGTTTACTGGACAGACTGGCGAACAACGTCCGTGATACGTGCCAACAAGTGGAATGGCAGCGACATTCAGGTGCTGCAACGCACACAGACCCAACCGTTTGGCATACAGGTGCTGCACTCGAGTCGCCAGCCCTGGGATCGCAATCCGTGCGGAGATAACAACGGCGGCTGCTCTCATCTATGTCTATTGAGTGGCAGAGGCACCTTTAAGTGCGAGTGTCCCCACGTTATGCGCTTGGATCCGGCGGATGAGCGTAGCTGTGTGCCCAACGAGCAGGTCCTGCTCTTTGTCATGGGTGAGGAAATACGCGGCATTGATCTGCATCAGCCCAATCATCATACCATACCCACCATTCGACAATCACCTAGGGTGAGTAGTAATTAGAATCCTAGCTGGGTGATTCAATGATTAACATCTCTCTTCCTTAGTTGGTGGCTCCGCAACGCATTGATTTTCTAGTGGAGGACAGCTACATCTATTGGTCCGATATACAACAGAATGAGATCTCCCGTGCGGGCATATCTAGTGGTCTGATTGAGCCGATTATCAATACGAACATTGAGAAGCCTTATGGCTTTGCCATCGATTGGATAGCCAGGCACATGTATTTCTCCTCGGGCCAAATCGTCTGCACCATTCTCGCAAGCACTCTGCAGGGTGAATTCACAACGCACATTCACGAAAATTTGAATATGGTAGACAGCATCGCCTTGGATCCAGCCAAGTAAATAGCTTTGAATAACATGGCACATGCAGTTCACAATTCTTATTTGCTTATCTGGTATTCAATTTACAGTGGCAAAATGTATTGGATACATTCTACACACGATTCATCGCTGTGGCAGCTGGAGCAATCGAATCTTGATGGATCGGAACGTTTTGTTATACACACGCACAACGACAGCATGCAAAGTTTGACCATGGACTTTGACTCGCAGCGCTTGTATTATTCCTATGATAACTCGGGCATCGCCTATTATGATATACCCAAAAATGAAACGCATCGGGTGTTGGTGGCCAGCCAAATTACATCGATCAACTCGCTAACTGTGTACAATGGTAGCATATATTTTCCAGAAAATATCCAGAGCGTCATCATGCATTGCGAGAAGGAGCAGTGCCTGAATATGTCATTCCTGCGAGTTAACACAAGTATGTAGAGTAGAGGTTTCCATTTGTATATTTTAATTTGTTAATTAATTTTTAATTTCGCCTATTCAGAGAGTATTCAGAGCATGAAAATGTTCTATGCGGATGCCCAAACTGGAACGAACACTTGCGCTGGACCTATGCGTGGAGGCTGTGAGCATCTTTGCCTATCCATATCGCCCACGGAGCACGTTTGTCGCTGCGCCTTGGGCTATGATGTGGAACCGCATAATCCGACACGTTGCATACCACGCGCTGAGTTTATATTCTATTCGATTGATGTTATGCTGGGCGTGGAAATGATTGACCCCAGTGAACCGTTTGAGCCACCCAAACCGGTATGAAATGTGTTTGCTAAATTCTGAAATAACATTTATTAATACATCCTCAACTATTTTCGTAGGCTCTTGTTCCCATTTCCCGCATCAGCTCGGCAAGCTTCATTGAATATCATGCTGCCACGGATATGCTTTACTGGGGCGATAATGAATTGGGCACCATTTCGCGCGTGCGACGTGATGGTAGCCATCGTGATACCATATTGGAGGCCATCAATTTGGCTGGCCATAAGCAACATGATTGGCTCGGCGGCATTGCTATTGATTGGATCGCAGGCAACATTTACTGGAGCGATACGAAGCGCAATATCATTGAAGTAGCTCGTTTGGATGGCAGTCATCGATATGTCGTTGTCTCGAATGTGGAGAAACCGACTGCATTGGCTGTGGATCCCTTGCAGGGACTGCTTTTCTATGTCGCCCAGCAGCACATTGGACGCACCGGCCTGGATGGCAGTCAACCATTTGTGCTGGTCAATCAAACGAGTGCCAGTTGGGCGGTGAATAGTCTGATTGTTGACATGGATGCCACCAAGGTCTACTGGTGTGAAACATATCCCGACGCACTAATGAAAGTCGATTATGATGGCAACTTGCGGGAGCAGCTCTTAAATGATACGCACAGCAAGCCTGTGACGCTGGCCAAACTGGGCGATTATCTCTACTGGGCGGAGAACAAGTACAGTGAGGGTTCCATTCGGGTAGCACCGCTGACCAATCTCTCGCAATCGCAACTCATACTAAAAACGGAACAGGATCCCATCAGAGATTTGAAGATTTACTCCAAGCGCGTGCAGCACGGTAGCAATCCGTGTGCCCAGAATAATGCAGGATGTGAGCAATTGTGTCTGTTCAATGGGACCACTGCCATTTGCGCCTGTTCGCACAGTCGCCTCGCCGCCGATGGATTTAGCTGTGAACCTTATGAGAATTTCCTGCTGTTCAGCTATCGCAGCAACATCGAGAGCATTCACATGACGGAGCACGCCAACAAGAACTGGCCCGTCCAGCTAATATCGAATGCGACGCTAATGCGCAATGTGATTGCCATCAGTTATAACTATGAGGCACAGTTGGTTTACTACTCGGATGTGCAGCTGAGCACCATCAATCAGGTGCACTTCAATGGCAGCGATCAGCGTGTGCTCGTCACGCAGCAGGGACGCGTTGAGGGAATAGCCTTTGATATGGTCAACGAGCAACTCTTCTGGACCTCAAACAATGATGCAGCGATACGCAGTCTGGAGATGTTGCATCTATCGCCGCAGGCCGAACAGAATTTGCCGCATGTGCGGAATGTGCTGTCGCTGCAGAGCAAGGATAAACCGCGCGGTATTTCAGTGGAGCCATGCCTGGGCATGATCTACTGGACGAACTGGAACGAGCAGTCGCCAAGCATACAGCGTGCCTATCTCACTGGCTACGGCGTGGAGCGCATTATACGCACCGACATTAAAATGCCAAATGCCTTGACTTTGGACCTGGAACAGCAACAATTGTACTGGGCTGATGCACGTCTCGATAAGATTGAGCGTGCCAATTATGATGGCACTAATCGCGTGGTGCTCGCTCACACAACGCCTAAACATGCCTTTGCCATGGCCGTGTATGGTGATCTATTGTTCTGGACGGATTGGGTGCTGCACGCTGTGGTCCGTGCGAATAAATACACAGGCACCGATGTGCTGTTCCTGCGCGAGCATGTGGCTCGACCAATGGGCATTATAGCGGTGCAGAACAGCAGCATCAATTGCGATGCGAATCAGTGTAAAATATTGAATGGTCTCTGCGAGGATGTGTGCATCTTGAGCAAGAACGGTTTGGCCAGTTGTCATTGCACCCAGGGTGTCCTGGCGCCCGACGGACGGCGCTGCATTGCGCCCGTAAATACGAGTTGTGGCAAGTCTCAGTACAATTGCCATTCGGGCGAGTGTATACCCTTGGAGCTGACATGCGACAATGTGACGCATTGCTTGGATGGCTCCGATGAGCTACGCAATTATTGTGTGATCCGGCAGTGTCCCGATAACTATTTCATGTGCCAAAACCATCGTTGCATTGCGCAGGACCAGACCTGTGACGGTGTCCAGCAGTGTGGAGATGGTAGCGATGAGACGCCCCTGCTCTGCAAGTGCCAGCCGCAGCAATTCCGTTGCGGCAGCGGGGAGTGCATCTCGCGCAGCTACGTTTGCGACAATATGCGTGACTGTCGCGACTTCAGCGACGAGAAGAACTGCACTCAAAGGACCTGTGAGCAGGGCGACGCTCTGTTCGAGCACTGTGCGAATAGCAGCCTGTGTATTATGCCCTCGTTTCGATGCGATGGCGAACCGGATTGTCCCGATGGCACCGATGAGATTGGTTGCGGCAATTTAACACGCGCCACCTGCGAATTGGATCAGTTCCGTTGCTCGAATGGACACTGCATTGCTGGTACTTGGCGCTGTGATGGCGAGAACGATTGCATGGACGATGTCGGCGATAATGGCAGCGATGAGTTGAACTGCCGTTCCAGTTGCCAGGTTAATCAGTTTAGATGCGACAACGGCTGCATTCCCAGCAGCTGGCAGTGTGACGGTAAAAGCGATTGTGATGATGGCACAGACGAGGGCCCGCAGTGCCCAAATCGTCCGTGCCGCGCTCATCTGTTTCAGTGCAAGAGTTCCGGACGCTGCATACCACAGAAGTGGGTGTGCGACGGCGAACTGGACTGCCCCAGCAACGGGGATCAGGGCTCCGAGGATGAGGGACCACACTGTGGCGGCATTGCCCACATACCCGATTGCCAGCCACCCGCTTTCCTCTGCTCTAGTGGTAAGTTTTTCAGTTAAATGTTGGCTATATTTATACTTAAAACATAACTCATCTATTACAGGTCTGTGCATCGATTCGCATTATGTGTGCGATGGCGACGAGGATTGTCCCAGCGGCGATGACGAGTACGAGGGCTGTGAGCCCGTCTATCCGCTGCACGCCTGTCCAGGTGGTGTCCTTATGCATCAGTGCCAGGATGGCCTGTGCATCTTCAAAAACCAAACCTGCGATGGCAAGCCGGACTGCGGTGATGGCTCCGATGAGTTGGCCTCGCTCTGTGCTCACACCCGTGCCTGCAATGGTGCCGATGATTTTCGCTGCAAGAATGGGGCGTGCATCAGTGCGGATTTGTTGTGCGACAGGCGCAACGATTGCGGCGATTACTCGGATGAGGAGCACTGCAATGTGAATGAGTGCCTCATACCGGATATATGCGAGCACGAGTGCGAGGACAAGGTAGTGGGCTACAAGTGCCTATGTCGGCCCGGCTATAGGCTCTTGGCCAACAGCTTGCGTCTCTGCACAGATATTGATGAGTGCGATGAACACCAGCCGTGCTCGCAGATCTGCGTCAATACCTACGGCTCGTACAAGTGTCTGTGCGCCAAGGGCTATGAGTTGCGTGATCACCACACCTGCAAAGCAACAAGCAATGTGACCATGAAGCTCATCTTCTCCAATCGCTACTACATTCGTCAGGTGAATCACACCGGCAACGGCTCCATACTCATTCACTCCCTATCGAATGCGGTCGCCTTGGATTTCGACTGGGATAGCCAGTGTCTGTATTGGTCGGACGTGACCAGCACTGTGGGCACCATAAAACGCCATTGCCCGGCGGAGAACAAAACCCAAACGCTGCATCAGGCCATGCTTAAGAATCCGGATGGCCTCGCCGTGGATTGGGTGGCAAAGAATTTGTACTGGTGCGACAAGGGGCTGGATACCATTGAGGTTTCGCAGCTGGATGGCAAGTATCGGCGTGTGCTCATCAATGAACATCTGCGTGAGCCGCGTGGCATTGCCTTGGATCCGTACCAGCGGCACATCTATTGGTCCGATTGGGGCGACAATCCTCACATTGGCAAAGCCGGCATGGATGGCTCCCAGCCGCGCATGATAATACGCGAGAATCTGGGCTGGCCAAATGCGTTGACCATTAGCTTTGAGACGCAACAGATATTCTGGGGCGATGCCAGAGAGGACACAATATCGGTCAGTGATTTGGATGGCAAAAATACACGTCTATTGCTGGCGCGAAGCATTAATCCCAATTTGAATCTGCATCACATCTTTGCCATTGCCGTGTGGGAGGATCGGATCTATTGGTCCGACTGGGAGACAAAGTCCATTGAGTACTGCAACAAATACGATGGCCAGAACTGTTCCACACTGATCACGACCATACATAGACCCATGGATTTGCGTGTCTATCATCCGTATCGCCAGCAGCAGCCATTGAGCGGCAATCCCTGCTTGGCGGCCAACTGTTCCACACTGTGTTTGCTGTCGCCCGAGGCGCCCTACTATAAGTGCGCTTGTCCCAACAATTTTGTGCTCGCTGACGATGGCCGAACGTGTCGGGCCAATTGCACGGCGGCGCATTTTGAGTGTGTGAACACGTACAAATGTATACCGTTCTATTGGCGCTGTGATACGCAGGACGATTGCGGGGACGGCAGCGATGAGCCGGAGTCTTGCCCGCCCTTCAACTGCGAGCCGGGTCAGTATCAGTGCGGCAACAAGAAGTGCGTTCATCCCTCAAACATTTGTGATGGCCTCAATCAGTGCGGCGACAGCACGGATGAGCTCAACTGTGATAAGTTCACCTGTTTTGAGAACCAAATGAAGTGCGAAGCATCCGCAAATAGTTCGGCATTTTGTGTGGACAGCGTCAAGCGATGCGATGGCGTCAAGGATTGTCCCGCTGGCGAAGATGAGGCTGGCTGTACGCCACTCGTTTGCAAAAAGGATCAATTCCAGTGTGGCAACAATCGGTGCATGCCCTATGTCTGGGTGTGCGATGGCGACACTGATTGCCCCGACAAATCCGATGAGGCCAATTGCGAGCATGTCTCGTGTGGACCCAACGATTTTCAGTGAGTTCCTCAAATACTCTCTCTCGCTCTCTCTCTCTTCTGCTGAGATTATGGTAAACATGCTTCATTCATTCACAGATGCAACTCGGGTCGTTGCATACCACTGACATGGCGCTGCGACGACGAGGAGGATTGCCCCAATGGCGAAGATGAGCCGCCCAGTTGTCACACCTCGAAGGCCACCTGTGATCCCACTTACTTCAAGTGCAACAATTCCAAATGCATTCCAGGACGCTGGCGCTGTGATTACGAGAATGATTGCGGCGATGGCAGCGATGAGCTCAACTGCCAGATGCGCAACTGCTCTGAGAGCGAGTTCCGTTGCGGCACCGGCAAGTGCATCAAACACGATTTCCGCTGCGATGGTGAGATCCATTGCGATGATAGCAGCGACGAGATCAACTGCAACATCACCTGCAAGCCCAATCAGTTCAAATGCGCTGCATTTAACACATGCATCAACAAGTAAGTGTTTTATATCTAGTACAAGATTGAATTTCGAAATTATCGTTAAACTCTTTCAGACAATATCAATGTGATGGCGATGATGACTGTCCCGATGGCTCTGATGAGGTTAACTGTACGTGTCCGCCGGATCACTTCACCTGCGGCAATGGCAAGTGCATAATGTCGCGCTGGAAATGCGATGGCTGGGATGATTGTCTGGATGGCAGTGACGAGAGCTATGCCACCTGTGCCCATGCGCATTGTCACTACAACGCCTTCAAGTGTGCGAATCTGCTCTGCATACGCAAATCGGCGCTTTGCGACGGTGTCAACGATTGTGGCAAGAACGAGGATGAGTCGGATCAAGTGTGCGCCGCATTGCCCAAGTGTCGGCACGATCAGTTCCAGTGCGAGAACGATGATTGCATCTCGAAGAGCTTCCGCTGTGACGGGCAGTACAATTGCATTGATGGCTCCGATGAGATGAATTGCCAGCCGCCGGTTTGTGGTTTTGGCACTTGCTCACAGATTTGCATTGAGAAGAAGGCGGGGCACTACAACTGCAAGTGCACGACTGGTTATGAGAAGGGCGCGGCGAGGAATGCGACGTGTCTGGCATCGGGGCCGGATCAGATATTGCTGTTGGCCTCGGAGCAGGAGTTCCGTTTTATATTGCCCGCCAAGCAGGAGGGCACCACTGTTGTCGGTTTCTTCCAAACTGATAGCTTAAAGATTGATGTCTTTGACATACTCATCAGGCCAAAGGATACGCTGCTCTTCTGGATCGATTCGCATCACGGCAAAGTGCACACTATGAAAATTGCCACGCCCCATGTGGAGGGCAGTGGCGTACGTGTTCGTCGTGATCTTAAGGAACTGACTGCTTTCAATGTGAGTGTCGCAGTTGTTTTCCGCAAGCTTTCAACTTAATAAATATGTTATCTGTTTAGATTCCCGATCTGGACGATCCTAAGTCGTTGGCTGTGGATTGGATTACCCAAATGGTTTACATTATTGATTCACGTCACAATCAAATCATTGCCACTGATATTGAGGGCAAGAAGTACATCTCACTGGTATCCACCGGCATGAATCCCACGGATATTGTGCTGGAGCCTGAGTCGCGTGTGATGATCTGGTCGACTCTAGAGAATGGCATATTGGTTGCCTCGCTGGATGGCAGCAACAAGAAGAGCCTTGTCGAGCGGGATGTCGGCTGGCCAATTAGTCTCTCCATAGACTATCCAACGGGTCGCCTTTATTGGGCAGATTATCGCAAGGGCACAATTGAGACGTGCCGCCTGAATGGCAAGGATCGCAATGTGGTGCGACGCTTCGGCAATCGCGAGAAGCCGCAAAAGATTGATGTGTTTGAGGACTATCTGTACATCAAGTTGTACGATCAGAGCATCATTAAGATGAACAAGTTTGGCAATGATAACGGCACCTATTTGCTAAAGGGCTACCGATCCTCGGACATTGGCATTCTGCATCCAATGAAGCAGAATCGCAACAGTGAGTAGCAAATTTCTTTTGTCAAAACTGATTCGATTAAGATAAATATTAGTATTATATTTAAATTTGTTTCTGTCTTTCATTTTGTCTCTTTCAGTAAGCAATCCTTGCGGTAAGGATCCCTGCAAAGCATCGCGTGCTCTTTGCATACTCTCAACGGAATCAGCCAACGGTTACAGTTGCAAGTGCCCCAACGACTATGTGATGAGCGAGGGCATTTGCAAGGCGCACTCCGACATACCAAACTATTGTCCGTTGCTCTGTAATCTTGGCACGTGCCAGCTGGTGAATCATGTGCCCAAATGCATTTGTCAGCCGCAGTTTGAAGGTGAGCTGTGCGAGCACTATCGCTGCTCTGGCTACTGCCTCAACTATGGATTGTGTACGGTGGCGCCACAGTTGCCTGGTCTGCAGGATCCACCGCCACTTAAGTGCACATGTCCGCCCAACTGGTCGGGAGCACGTTGCGAGACTTCGGTGTCGGATTGCCAGAGCCGTTGCCATAATGGCGGCGCGTGTCTCGTCTCCGACACGGAGGGCATGAAGTGCAGTTGCCCGGACATGTATGTGGGTGATCAATGCGAACACTGCCTGAATCTGACCTGTGAGAATGGCGGCATTTGCCGCGAGACAATCACAGGCGCACCACAATGCGAGTGCCCCGATGGATATACGGGCAAGCGTTGCGAGATCAACGAATGCGCTGATTTCTGCAAAAACGGCGGCACATGCAGCATCGGCGCCAAGGGACAACGCCAGTGCAAGTGCCCCAGCGGCTACTACGGAGAGCACTGTGAAGCCAATTCCTGTCGCGATTTTTGCCAGAATGGCGGCACCTGCACGGATCGTGGACATCGCTTGACCTGCACCTGTCCAACCCGCTACATTGGCGATCGCTGCGAATCGGATCTGTGCAAAACCTCGAATCCACCACGCTTCTGTGATGTCTCTCAGCTGCCGTCGCGCAATCCCTGCACGGGCATCATTTGCCAGAACTCGGGCACCTGCCACGTAATCAAGGGCGTTGCCATGTGCAACTGCACAGATCAGTGGAACGGCGAGTTTTGTACTCTGCCGGTGGGCGATAATAATCCCTGTGTGCGCTATTGTGCCAATGGTGGCGTCTGCCACCTCAATGTGTATTCCCTGCCCCATTGCACCTGCATTGGCGAGTGGCAGGGCGATTATTGTGAGTTGCCACCGCATTGTGTCGGTGAGTGTAGCGTCTGTCGAACGGGCAGCTCCATCAATGAGTGCTTGTGCGACAACAAGCGAGTGGTGCCCTGTCTCGCTGAGAGCGCTGTCGCCTTGAATGGCGAACAGGATCAGATGGATTCAGCCAGTTGGGTCTCGGTGCTGGCCGTGGTCTTAGCAATAGCCACATTGCTAGTGGCACTCTTTGGCGGTGCAGTTTATTTGCTCAAGTAAGTTTGCAAAGTTTACTTTCACAGCTTGTTGGAAATAAACTAAACTAACATTTTCATGCAGAAAACATCGCATTGCGCAACCATTTACACATGCTCGTCTCACGGACAATGTGGAGATCATGCTAACCAATCCAATGTACCGAGGCGATGTCGATGAGGCGCCGCCCTTCGCACATGAGGATGATAAGGTACTGAAAATCTCACTATTAAATGTGCAGCAACTAAGCCAACATTTTGCATTCTTGCAGGGCAACTTTGCAAATCCCGTATATGAATCGATGTATGCGGATGCGATTGCGGAGCCGGCGAGTGCGGAAATAGCGCACAGCACGGCGCCGGATGAGAGGAAGGGATTGCTACAGCATACGCATGACGAGACGCATACGCCGGACATACTCTGATGATTAAGTCGTGTTAGCCAGGATCGCGAGCTGTGCTAAGCGCACTCACAGATTGTACACTAAACACACACACGCACACACGTTATCAAGCATCACATTTAAATCCAAATCCAAACCGACTTCAACACGAACAATGGACTGATAGCGTAGCCATATTACGAATTTTGTAAACGTTTTTTATACATTTTGTTTCCCTAATTGTTTATTTTTTTTTTTGTGGGGTAATAGTGGGAAATGGGAGGGAGAATGGTAGTCGAGGAGTGTGTGCCCATCCAAAGAGCGCTGAACCTAATTTGCAACTGGGGCACCTCCTTGCTTCATGCGTAATGTCCTTAAGAATGATGTCCTTATACTCTAACTTGTAAACACTTCTTGTCATATTATTCGTTTAAGCGCCTTTTATTATTGTCGCAAAGTTTACAAAAATTTGCCTTCCTTACATAATGATTTAATTTTATAAAACAACAACAAAACGCATTTGTAAATTTTGTAGTTCGTAGACTTAGTTAAATATCACGCAAACACAAAAACAATTTTTGTAAATATTTTATAAATTGAACGCCCAAATGGCAGCCTAGTTAACATTTCAAATATGCACTAAACATTTTGCCGATTAGTGAAAAATATTAATATATATATAAAACAAAAACAAAAACATACAATTAGCAAACTCGTGTTTTTCAATTGACCAAAAATCGTTGAAAAATAATTTACTAAGCATACACAAATTATAACGCACAACAAACCGAAACAGAAAAGAAAAACGACAAAAAATGATATAACGAACAAATTTGCATATAATACAGTTAAGTACATTCAAAACATATGTGTATTCAGATATATACATATATCTAAATATATATAAATAAACACTTAGTTTGTCCCTTTTAAGAGCAATCGAACGAAAACTGATTTCCTGTAAAAAATGATAATGCTCAGACGAAAGCCAAATTTTAACATTTACAATGTAAAAACTTAACAACTATACACAATTAAATGATGTATGAATGTAAAGCAATGTGCAATACGTTAGTTAAACGTATTAAGTATATTTAACAATATACGTGCACAAAATAAATTCGAAAGCAATTGTAAAAATAAATAAAAAAAAATACAAAAACTAAAACTAAAAATTTGAACCATTTTCAGAAACTACCATGATTCGTTACTAATGATTCAAACGAGTTCTTTTGCCTATTACTATGTTTTCATAAACACAATGATTTTGTTAACATTTTCTATATTTTTATTACGTCATCCCCACAAATTTTGCCATATGGCGTTTGGTTACCTTTGAAAAAATCTCGACATGCAGCGGAAGTAACTTTCAATTTTCTTTGCTCGACCTTTTTAACCTTTTTTTTTTGGTGAGGCGTCTGCTTGAAAAGGGGAAATGAGTCTTGGAAAATCGAAAGTAATTTGTTTCCTATTTCGTGCCACAAAAAGGATATGCGTCATAGAACAATTTGTATGCACTCAAAATTCAATTTTTTCATTTCCCCAATTTCTCACTGCGGCTCAAGTGCACGACACGTGGGCACTTCCGTTTACAAATTTGTGAGGCGTATCCCTAAAGGACCCTATTAACCCCATGGAGCCCAGTTCGTGGTGCCTGGGAACATTTTCTGATTATCTTTCAACTGATTTCGTGCCGGTTATTACGCAAAACTGCGTTCTTGCCGCTGTCTCACGCATATTTACTGTGGGTTATTGATAGGAGATCCTATATGCATTTTGAGATGCACTTGTTGGCCACAGGATCCGTGCAACACGGCTATCAGGGCCCATTCACAGGCAGCAGCCATTGGGTCGTGTGAAAATGCAAGCGATTTGAATTTTTGCTTGCCACAGGTAGTCGGTGGCATGCATTTCATCCTTTGCTGTGGCAGAAAGGATCGCATTCGGTATATTTTAAATCTGTGTGTTTGTGTGTGGGAGAATTCCTGTTAAACACTGCATGACTTTGTTTGTTTATTTGCGAGGATATCTCTATTATAATACAAACGAGATTTCTGGGTTTAAGCCGAAACTTAACTGTGGGAAAATGAAAATTGGTAACAAGTTAATGGCTATTAAAATGGCAAGAGTGTATTACTGACAAATGCAAAAGGATATGCGAATTTGAAATTAGTTTTTTAGTAGTTTAGAAAATTTAAGTGCGCTTTTCTCATTGCGCAATGGAAACCTGAAATTCTGCAAAGTTTGCTCACAATTGGGAACACTATTATCATTTGAAACTGAGCATTTGTTCAGCTGGGCCGGCCCACTTGGAGGCCACAATTGATGCAACTAGTATTTTGGGCTATTAATTAGACCAAATGAATCTCAATGCCAGCACAAAAAGATTCCCATTCCCACCGAGGCACACCGAGGAAAACGAAATCAAAAGTAAAAACAAAAGTGATAAACCGTAACGAAGTGCACAGGAATTTCACATACACACACAAATAGACAAACACAACATACACACACACACACACACACACACACACACACTGAGAGAATCCCAAGATGCCGACACACAATTCGAGGAGGCCCAGCATCAAATCACAGCAAACAGAGACAAAGAAAAAGGATCCACAGAACAAGTGCAACGCAAACAGGCAACCACAAAGCAAACAGCGAGGCGAGCACAGATAAAAGATCGTCGAGGATGTGTGTGTTTGCCAGTGTGTGTGTGTGTGTGTGTGTGGGAACACAACGAAACAAGTGCAACGGTATTTGGAGACTGCAAAAGGATAATAGCGCTAAAGGGAAATGAAAATTATGATAATTTAGTTCTTTCTCACAGCAGATCGGGTAACCAATGTGTCGATATGATTGAGTGTGGGAAGTTCGCGGAGTTCGTCTTCGTTCAGAGACGATGGACGAAGGACGAAGGGCGAAAGAAGCTGAGCGGAGAGTTGAGAGTTGAGAGGGCGTCGCCAAGTTTGATGTTTGTGTCGCTCGACAGCCACACGCAAGGCAGTCGCAGGACATGGGGTCCCATTCTTGGCGGAAGTTATTACGGAAGTGAGTTAAATTGATCGAAAGGAAAAAGGATGTAAATCAATTTATTGAAATCAAAATTTATTCAAGCACTTTTACTTTGGTTTCTCCACATGCTGTGTATACCCAAAGAGCTCCTTCAGCATACCATAGATAATCATTTGTCGCGTCACTTCCGGCTCGTACTTCATATAGTCCTTGAGGCGATGCTGCTTATAGAGACGATCCAGTAGTTCGTAGAGCTCTATTTCAAGAGCACGAAATGATATCTCCATCTCAGGTGTATGAGTGCCCGAGAGCAGAGCTTGCATATAGATGTTGCTGATCGTATCCAGTGCCACATCCAAGGAGTTGAGTATATTATCCTCTGGATTCTGCAGCAGCTGTGCCGATCCTGTGAGCTTCGGTGATTCGCGATATTCATTGGCAACGATCAGCGGCGAGAAGGATATCAGCAAGGACATCAGCAAGAGCTGAGAAAAAACTAATTTCACTTGCATGGCAGGACTTTTTAAAGGATTACTTTCGCTTAAAACTTTATCGGGACACGCCTATTCAGCTTGTTCAGCTGAAGATCACTGCGTGCTCTGTTGCAATAACTTTCGTGCGAACTGTGTGTAAAATGATGTCGGCAAAAGTCAAAACTCGGCTCTTTAAATAGTAATTGCGGGTTATCAATTCAGTGAATCGCTGACTATATAGCATACAAGGTAACTTCCGCCAAATAGATTATGCTATCAGCGCAAATTTATGCAAGTCTCAGCTTCCGTTCGGTGGGTTCAAGCTCTGGTGGGTCAATGCAATTAATTGACTCTAAAAATAATTCGTACTCAGAGAGAAAAATCAGGCAGTTTGTAATCAAAATACTACTTTAATGTACTTGAATAAAGTCGGAATATTTGGAATCTATTCTCAGTCCGATTAGTAAATTGCCAACCGTTCATTTAAATCATTTTATAGAGCACAGTTTTTCTGTCTGTGTAGTTTTCCCGTTTTCAAAAAAATGCAATTAAATTTGTTGCTTGTTTTGAAAGCATTATATTTATTATTTTTTCACTCATTGTTCAGTTGGCGTCAACTTCATATTTTCATTTTAATATTAATAACCTCTACGAAAGAACCTTAGTTTAAAACATGAAAAACTTGAATCTATAATCTACATAACTTAGTTAAAAACTCGTGTATTCTGAATAATAATACTAGTGTAATAAAGAACTTTAAATATTTTTGAAGAATGGTACTAAAATACATAATAATCATAGTCATAATAATAATAATAATAGCTTAAAAATGATTACAAATTATACAAAAAAATTATACAAAAAATATACACACGCATAAATAATCACAGCTGAACTTAAAATTGAAGAAAGCGGAAAACATGAGAAATAAACTTAATGAACTAAAGCATTGTTTTGTTTTTATAAATTGCAGTGAAAATAAATTAACAAATTTAGGAAATGGAGAAAAACTTAACATAAATAAAATATATTAAAGAGGATATTTTATGCTGCTGCTGCTGGTTGCAAGGTTGCTGGCTTTTCCTCACCAGGGCCGCCAGGCGGAGCTGTTCTTCTCGATGGCAGCGGCCAGGAATTTCTTAGACGAGGGTTGTTCGTCCGATAACGAACAATCGCTAGAATCGGCCTGATCTTGTTGCAGCTGCTCCTTCTCACGATCCCGCTTCTGACGCCGGCTCTCCTTGCCGCTGGTGGAGCTCACTTGCTGCTGTTGCAGGTGATGGGCGACCAGGGAACCGGCGCTGCTATCATGACTGCCACTACTCAGGTTCAGGGAGCCGCTCGTGTTGAACGATGTCTCCGCCGATGTCGGTGGTGGCGTGGAAAACACTCCAGCGAAGCTGTGCTGCTTGGCCAGCGCAAGCTCGGCCTGAACATTAGTTGGCGAGGCGGCGCGAGATTCATCGCCCTGGCTCTGGCTGGAGATGGAGGAAATGGGACTCAGTGGCGGACTGCTGGTTGTCGTCTTGGTGCTCACTGCGACCGCTGTGCCAGCTGCTGGAGCTGTCGGCTTGTTGAATGCACTCAGCCGGAAACTTTGCGCATAATCACTTAAATGTGTGGGATTCGCAATGTTCGCCAAGGCGGCACTCGCTGCCGTTCCTGGCCAGACAAATGGCGCCGGAGCTGCTGCTGCTCCTGCCACTGTTGCTGCTGTTGTAGTTGTGGCTGTTGCTGTGTTGGGCATTATTAGCGCAAATTCGCCAGAGGGCAGGCGGGATGGTATCAGCTGGAGACCACCCATTTGGATGGCTGGAGCTGCTGCAGTGATGCCCTCCCGGCTACCGCTGTTGTTGTTGTTGTTGGTGTTGTTGTTAAGGTCCTGCGGCAGTGAGGGGAACAAAGGTGCTGCAGTGCCTGGAAACATTGTGGCTGGCAGCTGACCACGATATCCATTGTTGAAGTTGCTCATCGATCCAATTTGCTCGAGACTGTTTGCACAGTTGTTCAAATGGGCGCTGAGACGTTGACGCACTCCTGGCTCAATGCCATCCATTTGGCTGACATAGCGATTGACTTCCTCGGCGCACTCGACGAACCCCGTCTTGAACTTGTGCACCACACCAGGATCCGTCTGGATGGCCATATTGAGCTGCTGGCGCTGCACCGACTGCAAATGCTTCACCGTCATCTCGAGTATGTCGGCCTTCTCCAGTTTGGTATGTCGCGCTGGCTAAAAACGGTTGAAGAACACAAAACAGATAATGATGAGCTGGGAGTTTAAGTTCTTGTTCTTGTTGTTGTTGGGTGTCGCTTTTGGCCAGGCTGCTAAAAGTGGATAACAACTAAAGCAGAAGCCGCCCGGCTAATTGTTTTCGTGCACTGGCCAGCGGACCGAGCTCAGCCTCGCAGCGACCCTCTCAGGCACAGGGCCCTACAACAAGTCCAATGCATGGGAACAAGTGGAACACGTAAGCGAGCAGCCACAAACGTGCAAAGACGCCCAAATACCCTGTAAATGGCGTGCACTGCTAACGAGCATACAGTGATTAATCGAAATTTGTAAATTCTATTCTATTTTGAAGTGTTCCATAATTGGGCTAATTGAATTGAAATTAGAAATATCTTTCTAAGCAACCACAAATTGGTGAGTTTCCCAACAACACCACCCACAACCTAAATGCCCGATTGCAAGCCGTGCAGCTATAGGGCATAAAAAGTGAATGATGCAGAGGCTCGAGCACGTTTCTTGCTTCAGATGTCCAACTATTTGTAATCTACCTCTTTGTTTCTGTTCTACAGTCCACTTCAGTGAATCTCACACGCCCCAAAAGCGGAGCCGACCACTAAGCTCCTCTCTCTCTCTCTCGCTCACCTGCTCTCTGTATCCCACTGACCAGCCAGATACATATAGAGTGTGAAGACTGAAAGAGAGAGAGAGGGAGAGAAAGACTTGGCACTTCTTCTGCTGCTGCCGCTGCCGCTGCTTACTGCTGGCTGGGCTGCATATTTTGCAAAAGTTTCCCACGCAGGTCGCCCGGTTCGGTGCCCCGCCCGCTTCTTCTGCTGCTGCTTGTCTTCTTGTCATGTCTGCATCTTTTGTTTACTTTTGCTTTTTCTTCAATGTCTTTCTTATTTGATTTTTGGTCGTTGCCTTCAGAATTCTGCTACACTGGCGTCGGACTTGGCATCGGCATCGGCATCAGCGTCGGCGTCGGCGTTTTCGCTTCGCTCTTCTAGCTCATCATTTTTTTATGTCTGTTTTCTGTTTTTTTTTTTGTGTGTTTCTCACAGCAGGATTCGCTGGTGGCTCCTGTGGAAACAGGTTTGGCTGTCTCTGTTTGCTGTCTGAGATTTCTGCGTAATTTCTCGACTTGTTAACACTTTTGGTCTGTCTGACCGACTCGCCATCGCCATCGACATCGTCGTCGTCATTGTCGGCGCTCTCTTGTAATGATCATCAATAAAATTTAATACTCAATTAAACTGTTGACTCGATTTTTGTTGTTTTTTTTTTGTGTCTGTTTGTCCGTCTTCATGTCTGTCCGTCTCTCGTAGGAGTCTTGTATATCCTTTTGTACTTTCGCCGACGCCAGACACTTGAACATTTTCGAGTTTCTCAAATTTATGTGTTTTATGACACCATTTATAAGGAAAGTGAGCCTATCGCGAACCTAGTTTCTAAATCACTGCTTTGGCTTTTGGGGGCTGGCTCTCCCTTTTTTTCTGTCTGATTGCTTCTTTTTATTGTTTTTTTTTTAAAGGATACTTACGTCTTTCTTCATCGCTTCCAGGATAAGCGATTTGAGCTCATTTAAACAGTGATTTATACGGGCTCGACGACGTTTCTCCATTATAGGTTTGTTAGTCTGTAAAACAAAATTACAAAAATTGTTTACATTGTTTTCTTTGCCTCAATTTTTTAAATATTTATCTCCATAATAATTAGATATGCAGCATTAAAATGAACAAGATTTAATGACAATTTCTTATTTGAAAGCAGTTTTTAAAAGTTATATCATATTTTTTGCTGATCATAAAATATAACTGATTCAAATCAGCTCAGCAAAATTCTCGATAAATTTTGAGTAAGATGACTTTTTTTTGCAAACCTCTCAACACTTTCCATATCTTAGCCTTATCATTGACTAGCGGCTTAAAGCTCACCTTTCTTAGTTCCGCCTTGGATAGACCATTTGGGTTGGACATGCGTCCATTGCTGCCATAGCTATCGCTATAACCATTGGAGCAGTCGAAATCATCATCCGAGTTTAGATCGTGTTTGTAATCCATTTTGGTATAATTTAATTTGTATGTAATCCGAAATGTGTAATCCAATAGAAGGCCAAATTAGATGCTTTTTAACACACAACACAACAGAATTTCACAACACAAATGCTTTGGTTGAAGTACGAATTGAAGTGTCAACAAATAAGTATTGCACGTACTTTGATTTTGCAAATGTCCGAACAGATAAAACTTAACAAATTGTTACGCGTTTTCGAGTTTTAGTGCATTTGGGAGAGTTTTGCGATTTGATTGTGGGTAGACGACTGCGTTTCAGGACGAGCGGCAGACAACCGCGCACACGGAACGCTAAAAGGATACTGATCCTCGTTGCGGCGAGCGCGTTGACTAAAAACGATACGCGACGAAGGCAAAACGAGTCCCACGAGTCGACGCGCTTACCTGAGCAGCGACGACGACGACGCAGACGCAGGCGCTGGCGCAGGTAGCCATCGTGAGAGCGAGCAGATCGTACGCTCAGCAGCGCATTTGGGGTGGTTATGCAGACGCCGACAACAAATTCCAGAGCAGGCAACCAACGCTCAACTCACACTCAAAGCACTCAAGTGTTGAGTGAGTGAGCGACTAGACTCAACAGAGTTGTCAAATGCACTCAAATTTCCACACTCAACAATACAAAGTTGATATGAAAAGCTTAAATGGGTGGTTGCAATTTTAAATATTACAAACATTCTATTATTATCAACAGTTATTGATTTATTTAAAACATTCATAAATATTTATAAGAAATCGCAATATATTTCCTTATACACATGAGATAGATAAATTCAGCCAAACACGCTGAGCCACCCCTTAATCAATGCCAATGTCGTTGGGCGCAATTCATTAAAAATTGTTCTCGGGGTTGTCTTGCGCCAAAGGCAGGCGGCCAGGCCAGGTCGGGCAGGCAGATAAGGCAGCTGTCTTCACAAACCCCCTCTGAAGACATTGGCTTATCTTAGGGGCTGCGATTTTCAGTTTGGTCCAGGGGTCAATCATTAGTTGAAGCTTACCTGGCTTGGCAGTTTTCATGATAAGCGCATGCAACACACCCCAAAAACTGTAGGGCTGAAGAAATTTATTACTTTACAATATTGCCAGGATTTAAGATCGACAATGCAAAAATTGTCAATAAACCGGGCTGTAGGACATGCGCCAGCTGACAGCTGCCATAGAGTTCGGTTAGCCAGATTTAAAGCACTCATAAAACTATTGCGCCGCCTCGGCAACTCTGGTTGTGCAAATCAACTGCGGACCACATTGCACTCAGCCTCACTCAGCCAGTCAATTTTTGTTCTGTTTTTGAGCGTAAATCCCTTCATAAAACCGGGGTACGATAATTTTTGTAAATTGAATAAGCGTCGCAGTTTTGCCTATGATCACTAAATTACTTACATATATGCAAATGTATAAATCTATTTATTATTTTGTGGTTAACCCCATGCTGTAAATGCTGATCTGCCCCGTTTCGTTGCACTAATAAGTTATTTAAATTATTTTCTACCTTTGCACTTAATAGCTGGCCAAATTTGGCAAACTTAGTTCCCACGACAAAGCTCAATAACAAAAAATAAAAAACGAGAGAAGAGTAGAGCAGAGCAGAGAAGAGAGAAGCAGAGAGGAGAGAGAAGCACAAACTCATCACACATCACACAGATGGGCGGCAGTTGGATTCGGAATCGCAGTTGCGAATGTGGATCACTTCGTCGGCTTGTCGGAGCCGAACGTGACGAGCGCATTGGTCACATAACTCTCTCACACAAGTGGCAAGTTGCACGTCGCAAGTCGCAAGTCGCAAGTTGGGTGTCTTGAGAAAATGAAAAATCAGCGAATGAAATTCTATAACAAAAGCACTGCATAAAATACGAAAAAAGTTCAATATCACACCCAGAGTTACTTTGGCTTCCTTCATTTTTTTTATTGGCTTTGCTTTCGACTCGGGATCAAGGTAAATGCCGTTTAGTGTGGCACGATTGGTGATCGCTGATCGGTGCTCGGTGATCAATGATCACTGATCGGTAGCCGTCTACTGTGCTTCTCTGGGGCTTCCTTCAGTGCCTTATTTGCAGTTGCATTATTTTCGTTGCGTTTTCGGTATTCGCTCCTTTATTTTTTGTTTTGTTTTTGTTTTATGCCCCAACGCACGACTTACACATTAAAACACATTAATTTTTATTGTATCTACGCGATTGCTTCCCTTTTTTTTCACTCTTATTTATCAATTCTGCAGCAAGGTAGCATATGTGAGACCTTTAGCAACCTCCAATTAGTGTCTGCGGTTATGCTGCATATATGTATATGTATTTTTAGCTGCATCATTTTTTGTTCTGTGGGAACTGTAGTTTTCAAATATATGTGCATACTCGTATAGGGTGTGCCTCACAGACTCCACCCACTCCAATGCAGATCGCACACCCCAAAAACCAAATAATGAGCATGAAAAACTCTGAAACAGTAGCAAATGTGCCAAGTCCTCGTCCTCGTGGGATGCTTAGGCTAAGATATATGTTGATTTAAATGAATTTTTTGTTGATTTTTATGGCGCCTAGTTGGGGTGCATCTAAACTAGTTGCTGGGGTGGAAGGGAGAAACTGGAGTGAAGTGTGCGCCGGGGTGGCATTAGTCGTTATGACAGGCGTGGAGTTCTACGGGGAGTTCCACTTCGGATTTTATTTTTATGAATTTGATAAATGGCCAGCGGTAGTTGGGCTAATAACTGGAAACTTTTATGACAGATGTGAGCTGGCGTGGAAATAAAAAAGAGGCTGCAGTCGCTGCTATACCTGGGAACCGTTTACGAATCAATTAAATATAGGTTCTCATGGGAGACTTTTTGTGTAATAATTTAATGTGTATCAGTAAATTATATTTAATATATATATCAACAACTTAATTTAAACCCTTTACAACTTAAATGAAACCCTTTCATGACATCAGTTTCATTTAAACTTTGTTAGGAAAGAAGTGCATCGATTGTTATAGTTTCAAATTGATTGCAGATCGCTGTTAAAAGTGAATTCATTGCTGATATTACTTTAAATATATGAATTCAAAATTACTAATTATAGGATTGATTGAATATCGCTTATAAATTTAGTAAATTGCTGATATGGTTAATTGTTGGATTCGCAAACAACAATGTGAACAATTAAGAAGATTCTTTCAATGTCATTGGGAAGTTCTGCGTCTGTTGTGACTGTGTAACGGCTATCCACGACTAACTGGTCAGCTGCTCTCTATGACAAACTGTGAACGATCTTGCCTCGTGTCTCTTGTGCCGAAAGTTGGCACAGCTGCCAAGAACGTTTGGCTAAGAGAACAATGGGCTCGGGATTGGGTCCGGAGTTGGGATTGCACGAGAGAAACGGCGCTAAGAACTCGTCTGACTTTTAGGGGACGTGTAACGTTTTGTGGCGCCTCAATGTTGTTGCCTTTGGCTCGGGACAACGTCTTACATAATCGAGGCAGAAGATGCGCGCCTAAGCAACAAAACAAATGGATTTGTATGAAGCGTGCCTGATGCGAGGCAGCTGCAAGGGGACAGATCGGGAATCCGTTGAAGGGTTGCCCACACTGGGGAGATTAACTGCAGTGCGTTTACTGTTTACTTAAAGGATTTGCGGTTAGCACTTTCTTCAACTGCATCATCCAGGGGATCACTCAGAAACCAACTCACAAACAGAATACCATTTTGCTTAGTGATGTTTTTTTAAAGAAGAATTCAAATTATATCTCGATCTTTTTGGGCAGCATAAAAGTGATATGCTTGACAAAATTATAAATTTTACCTAAAGTGAAGACGTATTTTAAAGAAGATCTTTAAAGTACTTCTCAGTAATTTTGAACGTTTTGGTAATGAGAATATTGCTCATATTCCAGAGAAGTACAGTCAAATCTCGTGACGGCGACTGACAACAACAACTGTACCACTCATATCAATTCATAAACAAAATAATTCCGATGCAGTGGCTAAAATTAAACTCGAGTCGAAATGTGAGAAAAAAAGAACTTTCTCACGATCACCTTTTGAGCAGACGCGTTAAAATCCACGTGCAAAAGGGGGAAGAAGGAACCACCACCACCACCAACAATAACAACTGGCGACAACTGCGGAAGGAAGCTAGAAGGCAGAGGCCACGCAGGCGGAGTAGGACGCAGGACATGTGATGGCGATGGCGATGGTGGTGGTGGTTGCTGGTTAGTTGTTCGTTGCTGGTTGGTGCTGACGGCCCCCTCGAGCCAGGAGTAGTCCTCGAGAGTGCATGAGAATTTAAATTACAAACAGCGCGCACAATCGACGGCCTTTGTTTGTGTGCGTGTTTGTGTATCGGCATTTCGTAGGGAGTGCGGGGTGGACGAGGGCGCAGGACAACTGACGATGACGTTGACAATGGTGTGGGAATATTGAGCAGGACACAGTCGGCGAGCATGAAGCGGGCGCGGCCAATTACCCGAGTTCGAGTCCAGGTTAACTATACGCTAATGTGCCACATTCCCACATTTGTTCTCTGACTGAAGTAAATTAATATTTATATATATATAATTATTTTTTTAGTTGAGATGAGCAACCCACACGCCCCATACACATGAGTGTAGCGCATCGTGTGGGAGAGCGCCTCTCACCAAACACACGCAGGCCCTACGTCTCTTTCTCTCTCTCTATGTATTACTCGGCGCTGCTGCCACTCTCTTTGCCAATGATCACGCTCATGCGCAACACACAGCGCCTTGCAAAGGCACAAAAATGAAAGAAATAAAAACAACATAAAATGGGAAGCGTTGGTTTACACATATGGAGTTTTGTCTGTTGTTGGTGTGTTGCATTAAGAAATTGAAGTAACTGAAACGCATGCATATACACACTGCACACACATATGCGGCTATTTTTAAACCCACACACAACATGATAAGAATATTTGGTTGTGAATTGATAAATTTGAGACGAGCAGCAGCACAAGCGGCAGCATTGTCAGCATCAAAGAAGTGAGGCAGCTGCTCTTGGCTTTGCCCACTGAGAGAGCTCAAAAATGAGGGCTGGCAGTGCTGTGAGTGAGCGCGCAGCCGGTTGGGCGCTGCCAACGCGTGCGATGCTTCAAATTTATAATTTAATTGCAAAATTGCTTGCCTTATAAAGCATATTCATGTCTTTTAAATATTATACATGCATTGTTTAATTTTATTTTGTAGCTTAATACTTGAAAATAGAGATTTTTAAGTTAATTGGGTGATTTTCACTGCTGACACACTTTTGTCTCGGACACGTTGGCAGCACCGCTTTTGCCTGCAGTATCATATGCTTGTGTGTTTGTGTATTACTCATGCGCTGAGCCCTTGAGTGTGCCATATGAGTATGAGTGTGTGTCAGTGTTGTTGGCTCTTTCGTCTCTTTCATGCGCTCTTGTTGCATTGGCAGCAGTCGCTTGTTTTTCGCTCACTCAATAGCACGGCCATAGCGCGTTGTGGCGTACTTATTATTTTTTGCGCGAAGAGAAGAAGCAGCACCAGCAGCAGCACCAGTTTCAGTGCAGAAGTTTTGTTGACGCCGAAAAGAAAAAGAAAAAAAAAGAAACTGAAAACTAGGCGTGACGACACAAACTGTGCAAAGTGAAAAAAGCAAACTAAAAACTATTAAAGAGAAGAACAACAAAAACAAATGAATAGTCCTCGCACAAACGGCGCCATCTCAGCGCTGCCGAGCACATTGGCACAGTTGGCGTTGCGCGACAAGCAGCAGGCGGCGACAGCATCATCCATAGCGACAGCGACAACCGCATCCAATGGAAGTGATTCAACCGCAGTAGGAGCAGCGAACGCGACGACGACGACGACGACGTCGCAGCGTCCACAGACGCAGCCGCCCAGTGTGCCAAAACTGCAGTTAGCCGACTCGGCCAGTGTGACCAGCTCAAATGGTGACTCGAACAAGTTAACCCACGATTTGCAGGAAAAGGAAGCCCAGCAGCAGCAAAAGCCACAGAAACCACCGTTGCCCGTGCGACAGAAACCAATGGAAATTGCCGGCTATGTGGGATTCGCCAATTTGCCCAATCAGGTGTACCGCAAGGCCGTCAAGCGTGGCTTTGAGTTCTCCCTGATGGTGGTGGGTGGCAGTGGTTTGGGCAAATCAACGCTGATCAATTCCATGTTCTTGTCGGACATCTACAATGCCGAACAGTATCCGGGACCATCGTTGCGGAAGAAGAAGACAGTCGCCGTTGAGGCCACCAAGGTGATGCTCAAGGAGAACGGCGTTAATCTAACGCTAACTGTTGTGGACACACCCGGATTCGGTGATGCTGTGGACAACAGCAATTGCTGGGTGCCCATTCTGGAGTATGTGGACAGCAAATATGAGGAGTATTTGACGGCGGAGTCGCGTGTCTATCGCAAGAGCATCTCGGATAATCGGGTGCACTGCTGTTTGTATTTCATAGCGCCATCGGGTCACGGTCTGTTGCCATTGGACATTGCGTGCATGCAGAGCTTGTCGGATAAGGTGAATCTGGTGCCGGTGATTGCGAAGGCCGACACCATGACACCGGACGAGGTGCATCTGTTCAAGAAACAGATTCTGAATGAGATTGCTCAGCATAAGATTAAGATTTATGATTTTCCCGCCACACTCGAGGATGCCGCCGAGGAGTCCAAGGCCACACAGAATCTTCGCAGTCGAGTGCCATTTGCTGTCGTTGGCGCCAACACCATCATCGAGCTGGATGGCAAGAAGGTGCGTGGACGTCGTTATCCTTGGGGCATTGTCGAGGTGGAGAATTTGACGCATTGCGATTTTATTGCATTGAGGAATATGGTAATACGCACCCATCTACAGGATCTGAAGGATGTGACGAACAATGTCCACTATGAGAACTATCGATGTCGCAAGCTATCCGAATTGGGACTGGTCGATGGCAAGGCGCGACTCTCCAACAAGAATCCGCTAACCCAAATGGAGGAGGAGAAGCGCGAGCATGAGCAGAAGATGAAGAAAATGGAGGCCGAAATGGAGCAGGTGTTCGACATGAAGGTCAAGGAGAAGATGCAAAAGCTGAAGGACTCCGAACTGGAGATGGCCCGTCGTCACGAGGAGCGCAAAAAGGCATTGGAACTCCAGATCCATGAGCTCGATGAGAAGCGGCGCGAATTTGAGCGGGAGAAAAAGGAATGGGAGGATGTGAATCATGTGACGCTCGAGGAGCTCAAGCGACGCAGTCTTGGCGGCAATAGTAGCACCGACAATGTCGATGGCAAGAAGGAGAAGAAGAAGAAAGGTCTGTTCTAAGTCAGTTCGTAATTCCAGCGTAATTCCTCTCTCCTACTTAAACAACAACAACAACAAACAAAAAACAAAAAAACAAAAATTAACAAACGCAAAAAAAAAAAACAAAAACAAAAAACTTTACATGCTAAAAATCTCGAGAACAAAATAAAATACCATAACGAATTATAAATATAGCGGTACATACCATACTATAAATTACATTTATATATATATATATATACCTATATATATATAGATACCAACATTTATAAGGCAAATGTATGTTTGTAATTTGGCCTCTGCTGTTTCTACAATTTCTATGCTCAATCCAAAAGATTTTTAATTAACTTTCGGATTTGCAATAATACACAGCTTAGAAAACTTAATCGGGCCTCATTCAGATACATAAATTGTTTATGATATTCCAGTCTTGGAACACACTCACACACACACACACACACACACACACACACACACACACTCGGCTTTCGCTCAGCAATCGCGCATTTGTTTTTTTTTAAGATGCATACACATATTTAACAGTTATTATTATTGCAGTATTTTAACAAAATATATAAGGAAGCGCATCAAAAAATATACAATTAACATAAATAATAAAATATAATGAAAATATAAACTTGACGTAACATTTTTGACTAGCCTAAATGAATTGAAACGAAACCTAAATTGTATTTACAAAATACTTAAATATCGCTTAATGCAAAAACACAAAAAAAGAAAAACAAAAACAAAAACAAAAAACAAAAAACAAAAACAAAAATATATCCTAAGAAACGAAATAACGAATGAATTAATATCATCATCTATTATCGTACGTATCTTGTATAATGTGTGTATTGTATTTACTTATTATACATCAAAGTCATAACAACACAAAGCAACAAAAAACATAAAACATCCAGCAGCAACAAAAACAAAAAACAAAATATACTCTTGCATTTTACAAAATAAAGTCTTCTTTTTAGTTTAACTACATAAAAAAAAAACCAACGCCATTTGTTGTGTGTTTTGTTGTGTTTATTCAACTGCAAGTAACAATTACAGGGTGTCTTTATTGTGTGGAGCACGGCACGCGTTGCTGCATACACTGGAATTAGCACCGTGACGCTGCGTTTCGAAATGCCGCTCAATGCTGCACTCGTCCGTCCGGTAATCGTCAAATGCTGACTAATTTCTTAGGTATACAATATTTCCATTTTTGTTTTTATGTCGATTTCAAAAAGCAACAACAATCAACAAAAACATTCACTGCAAAGTTGCATGACGCAGCTTGGGAATGGGAATACAATCGAGTGAAGTAATTTCTTAAAAATGCGGCTTTGAATTTTTGAATACGTAATACGCCTAATAGAACCTTATCTTTGACTCACACTATTCCACAGTAAGTATATAATATATTGTAAATGATATCGTTCAAGTGTTTTTATAGTGGGTCTGTTGATATCGCAAGAATTTTAATAGAATCATTAAAATGCACTTGCACATGTGGATTAAATATAATCCGGAATTGGCATTGATTTACAGAGAATTTATTAAAATTATAATTATGTTGCGGCTTTTTGTTGGAGCTCACTGTAAATGAATGCAAATTTTGCAATTATTTATTTTTTTTTCAGATTAAATTATTAGTTGAACGTTCTCAAGTTTATATTGTGGCAAAGTTCACTGTTTTCGCCATATGCATATGCAATTTCATACCGTTGGCTGCCACACCCTATATGCTATATGGCAGCCCCCAGAGGGGCCCCCACTTGAAATTGCTTTCTAAATGCCCGGCTCTGTGGGGCATAGCGGAGCCCCCGAAACGTATGGGTATTTAATTTATGCATAAAATTTAATCCATAACCCAATTGAAAGGCACTCAATTAATGCCGTATGAAGCATATGTATATAAAAAGAAAAGCCAACCACCGCCACCAGTGAAAGAAAGACACAGAAACATGGAGCGAGAGTGCGGCCGACCAGTCGAGTGTAGAGTATGGAGTGGCAAGGAGTTGCCGGGGGAGGCACATATGTATATGTTCATGTATGTCTAAGCATATGTGAATGTGTGTGCGCGTGTGTGCGTGCGTGTGTGTGTGTGTGTATGTAAGTCAACAACGTTGACGCAGCACTTAAACACCAATTGCTAGCGATCAATGAACGCAAGCAGCAAAACCAGCAAAAGCAAAAAGCAGCAACAACAACTGGAGTTTGAGTTTTTGTTGTTTTTTTCATTACTTGCGCTGTGTTGTTTTTAGGACGATGACTCAAATAATACAGAGCAAGATATAAGCACACATACACACACACACACGCGCACATATATTGCAAGGAAAGAGAGTGAGATGGTGTGCGTGTGCTTGTTAAGCTTATCAGCTGAAATAAGAGAGAGTGAGAGAGAGAGAGAGCGCAGTTCAAAGAAGTTTGTTTTGACTTTGCTGATTTGCAAGACACATGTGTCGCCCACATGCGACTGGACACCCTGTAGAGCCTATGGAGCGTTGCCTCTTGAGCTACATTCTTGCACGTCAAATTGTGCAGAACGACAACTGAAATCAAAAACAAATGTTGACCGTTCTTCTTCTAATAAGCCGGCAACCGCAACACACACACGTAACACACGCACTCTCGCCAATACATATGTATGCAGAGTCGGAGCAAGAGCGTGAACAAGAGCGAGAGCGAGAGTAAAATGGCAGCGACGCGTACGCTCACCCACACGATCGGCAGCAGCGCTTGACATATTTACGTGACGGCGCGAACCGAAAGAGCAGCCAATTGACCAAAAACTGAGCGAACGCGTCGCTGTCAACGTTAAGAGTGACAGCGACAGCGACTGTGACTGCAACTGCGACTGCGACTGCGACAGCGACTGTGATGCTACGCATGCGCGTCGTTTTATTTGAAATTTCCGTTTAAAATTTCTTTGGCTCCAGTGTTGTTTGTCCCCCACTCTCGCTGTCTCGCTCTCCCTCTCTCGCTCTCCCTCTCTCTAGTTGACATTTGACTTCTTGCCATGATGCGGCAACGGGAAGTGATTTTTATAGGTTTTGTTTGTTTGCTTGTTTTGGCTCATGGCTCGTTTGCATTGCTGGTTGCATTTGGTCGTCAATGTCAGCAGATAAGGGCACACTTGGCATATTGGATACATACATAAATATTAATATGTGTTTGTTTGTTTGCTTTGCTTTGCTTGTTTGTTGTGCGCACATTAAATGATTTCTCATATTTTCCCATTTTGTTTTTGTTTACAAACATAGAAATTGGATCGTGTGTGGAGGTTTTATCAGCTAGTTTTATGTAACACTTGTGGGAATCACACACACATTGATAAAATCGCACTTCGATCGTAAATTATCTCGCCGAGTCCAAGTAAATAGGCACTTGTTAAAGCTGACACATTTCTCAAGGGGGGCAAGGGAAAACTATTTGCATTGCATTTAGCGACTCGAAAATAAACAAGTCGATAATTGATGTGCTCCATTGTAAAGGCGCTTCGTACTCAACTGAGTGGTGTGCATGGGAGTGTGTGTGTGCCTGTGTGTGTGTGTGTGTGTGGTCAAAAATTTCGTAAGCGATCCTCACAGCGGACACGGAAGTTTTGGGCTCTACTTCCGTTTTGGTTTTTTTTTTGCCTTCTCTTTTCGCCACAACATTGGAACAATAGATTCGGTATTTTAGTCCCATAGCGGAATATTCTTCGTTCCCTTGCAACTCAACTCTGTTTTGGTCCTGCTCTGATTTCCGCTGCTCGCGTGCACAACATCCGCTCTCGTTCAGCGCACTAGAAAGAACGATAAACAAATATCTTTACCGTTTTGCCCTTTTGCGATTATTTCGCATTTCTCATTTCGTATTTCTCGTTTCGCTATTGTGTTGTGCATTTACAGTTAGGATCGATGCCATTGTCCCTTTCCACACACAGCCCCGCTATGGGAATGAAGCCATTAACAGGTGAACAATCCGCTGCTCATCTCGTTTGTAGGTGTTATAATTATCAGCTATTCATTTGTGTTGATTTTGAGTGGCTGCGATGATGAGGATTGAGTTTGAATTTGGGAAATTGGAACTTAGATGGATGAACTTTTCCTATCTTGATTATTTGTATCGTCTTCCAAATAATAAACTATATACCCAACTTAGGGAACTAAGTTTAAGTACTGCTAGTTGGAAAAATATTGTAGTTAGAATAATATTAAATAAAAGAAAAATATAAACTTCCGTTTTAGAAGTATACTTTCTGAATAATAAGGTAAGTTACCCTTAGCGCTAAAAGTATATCTATTTTCAAAAATTCATTGCGGTTTTTTCAGAGTTTTATGGAAGAAATATGCTTTCTCTTAACTGAAAATGTGAACACCCTCAATTTTAAGATAATTCTGACATTCATACAGCTTAGGCAGGCCGGACTGCAAAATATTCCCACCAAAATTGTATAGCATTTACAGATTTTAAAATATAATATCAGTTTTTATTGAATATTGACTTTTCTATTTAAAGATTTGATCTTTTATGCAGACCTGTCTGCATTGAGTTTCTGGTAGGTATAACATAAGGGCTCAAGTAATTTGCTTTGAGAGTGAAAAAATTCGCCAATCTGTCAGAACGGTTGACATATGTTTTAAGTACAATAACCGCAGTATTGTGGCGTTTATGTCCGATAAATGGAATCAGAACAATGGGAGCTTAAAGTTACTGAATGGCCTTCTTACATACCACAATTTCCATAATTAAGCAACAGTTGTGTATGTGTCCGGCGACAGATTTGCGGTTAACGCAAAAATGACCCTGAGAACAGATTCTTCGATTCCCATTTTATTGACAGTTCATAACAGTTTGGGGCCTAAGCAAAGTACTTCAAATTTGGGTCACCTCGTAATTGGCCAGATTGGAAACGAGGGGATAAGGGGGAAGGGGTGCAGCCAGCGGGGACTGCTGAAGCATCTCTTAAAGTGACTTAAAAGTAGGTTATGCTGCGGCTGCCTGTGACTCGTTGCTGCTCGGCTTGCCAGCCTTTTGTGTGGCACATAGCAGCATATCTTGGCACAAGCCACCCTTTCATTACAATTCCGTTTTTTTTTTCTTTCTACTCTTCTTGAATTTTTTTTTTGTGAATGCCCCTGCATG